AAATCCCGATGTGGACCTCAGGCCAAAAAGTTTCCCCATCCCTGGACTAGTGGGATTGTGGCTGGGGCAGCAGGTGCTCAGTGCAGGACTCTTTGTTGTTTCAGGTGCCAGTGACCTTCAAGGAGGTGGCTGTGTATTTTACCCAGGGACAGGGGGCTCTGCTGGACCCCGCTCAGGGAACCCTCTACAGGGACATCATGCAGGAGAACTACGAGATGGTGACCTCACTGGGTAAGGGATTCCCGTCCCCTTGCTTATTAGAAGCCGTGGGGTCTGCATGTCTGACACTGGTCAGGTTCTTCCCTGGTCAGTTAGATTGGAGGGGAATGGGCTCTGTAATGCACAGCTGCCGTGTGAGCGAGACTTGCATCTCCATACACTCTCCAGTGAGACCAGGGTGTCAAAACCTACGGAATATACTAAATCACCCCGACCCAACCCCCCTTGCTTTCCAGGCTGTCTGTGTTGTTTCTCATTCACACACACAATCCCTGTTCACTTCCCTCCTTGGTAACAGCTCCAGCCATGTGGAGGGCTCTGGGCTCTGCCGGTTTAGAAATGGGCAGGGGTTTAACTCCAGAGCTGGGTATGCGTCAGCAGGGCCCCCAGAGAGCACAGATCCTAGGAACTCCTAGTGAGGGCGTCACAATTCCCCCCACCTCCCCAGACGTCTGCCTCCCCAAAGGTGGCTCAGTTACCATGTTCCCATCCTCTTCGATTCCATGTTCTGCCAGCAGAGCACAGGGACAGGTTCCACCCATGGAATGTCCTTTCTGACAGACACTCTCTCAATCCTCCACACACCCTGATCTGGTCTGATTTCACTTCCTGCACAGGATTCCCCCTTCCCAAACCTGAACTGATCTCCCACCTGGAATGAGGGGAAGAGCCATGAGTGCCCAATCATTAGGCCTGTGAGGAAACAGAGATCCTGAGAGGTGCCTGCACAGGTGAGGACTGACACACAAACCATCTAGTGAATGAAGGAAAAAGTGGAGAATCCCACAAATGTGGTATCAGTAAGTGCCCTCAGTTCTTCCTCATCTCACCCAGGGCAGGGCTGTAGTCAGCAGATATGACTGACATTGCTTTCCACCTGTCCTGTTACCTGCAGGAGTTTCCTTCCCAATGTTTCTTCTCTGTGAATTTTTGGGTGGGATGTGGAGGTAGAATCCTATTATAAAACCTTAATTTCAAATTCAGCTTTAATATGTTGGGTTTTCCCTCCATGCTATTCCTCTTTCTTTCTCCCAGGCACAATGACTCCTGACTGGATTGTCTCTCTCCCAGCAGAGGAAGTGGAACCAGAGGGGA